TTACCATTAGGCAATACTAGGCAGTTGCCTAGGGCCCCGAGTTCCTGGGGGCCCCATAAAAATCTGTTTACATGTATGGTTAATACAGTTATTCCTTATTTGTGCTCCTTAATTAGGGTTTTGATAAAAATCCTTTACAACAAATAACAAATAATGGATGTCTATTCTATTAACATTTCTCTATCTGTAGAATGGTGTCATCTTTTCAGTTCAGGGGGCCCCCTGCCTGTCTTTGCCTAGGGCCCCAAATTTCCTAAATCCGCCCCTGGCCTTTAGAACCAGAACCCTGATCGGGTCCCGATCGGCCGCAGATCCGCTTTAATCCGCCCTCGTTAATCTGCAGGTTCAGGTTTTATTTAGATTCTCTGTTGTTTCTGTCATCGTTTGCTTTCTGTGTTTTTATGTTCTTCCTGTTTTTTTAGTTTTGTCTGTTTTTGTTTTTTATTTCCCGTCCCCTAACTGCTGCCCCCCCCCACATAAACCCGGCGCTCCTCACTCCTCTCAGAAGGATGGAGGGGAGCAGGAGCTGGAGGTGATCTGCCTCCTCCCCAGCGGCTTCGACCCGGAGCTCTACACCCCGAAGCTGCTTTACCGACACCGGCCTCTAGAGGCTCCCGTAAGCCTGAACGCTTTGAGCGTCAGCAGCAGGCAACAGGAAGAAGACTCTGATTGGCTGAGCTGCAGAAAACTGATAGATAAATTAAAAAGTCAAATTCTTCTGTCAGAGGGAGATCAGTGCCGCCATCTTTATTATCTTCCAGGAGAAGAACCTGAAGCTGATGGATGGGTGGAGCCGATGGGTGGGTGGAGCTGATGGATGGGTGGAGCTGATGGATGGGTGGAGCTGATGGATGGGTGGAGCTGATGGATGGGTGGAGCAGCCCCATGAGAAAAAGCTCTGAAACCTCACAGACTTTGAATAAAGTCCTGAATCCCAGGAAAAATATTTTCCTGGATTTTTCTGGTCATTTCCTCCCAGTTTGTTTCCTTCTGTTGCTCCGCCTTCTTTTATTACTGACCAAAGCTTCTGCTTGGATTCAGGCTCCAGAAAAGCCCCGGGTCTGACCTCCATCCTTCTGAGACGAGGAGATTTCATTCTTTGGCAGGACTGTGAGGAAATATTATAGGACAAGAGTTCCTGGTTCTGATTGGTGCCACCCAGGACTCCAGATGGTTCATTATTGCTGCATTCAGGAGTTAATTTTTATAGCATCATACTGTCTTTCCTTGTGTAGTGGGAAAAAAAGTATTCAACTATTTACTCCACTTAAATAAACAGAGATCAATGGATTTCACTCAGTCGGCACTCTATCTTTGCAAATAGAGATCAGTTCATAGTTCGGTCCTTATTGCACAGTAATCAGCCCTGTTCTGCCTGAGCAGCGTTCGTTCCTCCTTAGTTACAATAATGGGAAGTAGTCAGAGTCAAAACTAATTACAGACACTTTGGTTAAACTAACATATTATGAATAAACCTGGAGAAAGAATGTCTGGTCTACAGACACCCTCATGCAGGGGAATGTTGTGGCCTTGCAGGGGAAACAGGCTGAGTTAAAACTTTTATAGTGAGTAAATAGCATAAATTAATATATGAAATAAGAGAAATCTAATTTTTCTGACCGCACCCTGCTTGTCCTAACCTCCTAAAGTCTCCCAGCTGCAGCTTTCTGCTCCTCTGAAGCAGTTTGGCGGAGCTGCAGCTCCTCTGCAGAGGTTAGCGTCTCTACCTGCAGCTTTAGCGGCCTGATCGTTGGATGGAGCTGGTTTCAGCTTCTCTGCTTGATTTAAGCCGACATGAAACGAGCTGCTGACTCTGCAGATGAGTTTCTAAGCTGCTGAATCTGCTGCTTCCTGCTGCTGGAGCTTCTAGTTTCAGGTCTCATCTGATTGTGTTTCTCTGATAACGGCTTTTACAACTGCTGAAGCTAACGCGGCTGAAGCAGAGGGAAGATGGATCTATCACTGAGGCGATCCTCCCTGTAGCTGTCGTCATGGGAACCATCATCCAGAGCTGGATCAGAATTAGTTTTTTTAATCGGATGAGCTTCTTTGAAGTTGCCTGCTGCTGATAATCAAGCCCGTTTCTTCCTTTTCCTTCCTGCGGTGTTTGAGCAGAGCTTTCTCCTCACTGGTGACTAAATGTTTTGTCGGTTTGGAAAGATTTTCAGTCCATGAACTTCACCTCAGTCTTTCAGGTGGCGTGACTTTTTCTGATGGTGTCTCTAACAGCTTCCTCATCCACACACTCATTTCCTGCCCCTCCTCCTTCATCGCACACTTAAAACATTGTTAGATCGGACGGAAATGATCTCTGAACATCCAGTTCGGGTTCTTGCCACAGTTCCTCTGTTATTTAACCTCTGGACTTTGACTAGGCCGCTCCCTCCCTAACCTTAACCCTGCCTGCTGTCTCCTGCTGGAAGGTGAAGCTCCAGCCTAGTCTCAGGTTCTCTAACAGGTTTACTGTATCTGCTGAGGGAACACATCCCTCCCTACGCTATGATGCTGCCACCACCGTGCTTCAAGGCAACAAGAGTGTTTTTCTACAGCAGGTTCCACTTGACTCTGATCATAGAGCAAAAGTGGGGCCATAAAGTTTGGACAAAAACCTTTTTTTTTAAAAACTTAATAAACTAAAAAATATTTTTGAAACAGAAAAATGTTTAAGTGATTTTGAGATTCACCAATTTGTGGGAGGATATTGATTTTCTGCTCTTTATAATTCAGTTATAAATCATCAAAATCTCAAAGATCAGAACTTTTTGTTTTGCGGCCGTGAATTTAACGCCGCTTTTTATTAAAAAAAAAAACTCGTCAGAAGGTCCCTTCAACCTCATTGGTTGGACCGTTTCTTTAGCTAGCAGTGCTAGCCGGTACGCCCTAATTTTCCCCAGGAAATTTCACACAAATGTTCAAACTTTCCCAAGCTGATGCAGAGCGCTATGATCACTCCTCTGAAACAGTTTATTAACGCCTAAATTAACTTCAAATGTAGAAACCTGCCGGCAGAATATGTTGGCTTTTATTATCCTGCTGCCTGCAGTTTGTAGCACAGACCTGAAAAACGCTAACATCTACTTCCAGCCGCCACCAACAGGAGGGGAAAACCCTGGAGAGGCGAGCGGGCCTGAGGCAGCTGAGCGCGGGACGTTTAGCTGCTCTCCAAACGCTGCAGGATACTCTGGTTTCCACGCTCAAATCGTGCCCCTTCATCGTGCCTTTTTCTAGGTAAACCAGGCATCCTGAAGCTGGAAGCACATTAGGTGTGAACGCAGCAGCAATCTGTCCTCCTGCATTATTCTGGTTGTGGGTTTGATCCCTTTTCCTCAGCAGACGCCCAATCTGGCTCCATGTTACAGCTTTTTATTTTTAATCGGGAACATCATCATTTTATGATGGCGGGGGATGCAGGCATGAGATGCGCGTCAGGTTTAGATTTTTTATTTGACCTTTTTATTTCTGCGTCTTTCCGCTCTTAAAGTTTGTCGATGCAAAGTAAGGAAAACGGTAAAAGTTGCATCGGTGGCGCTGGTTTGAGGCATCCCGTGGTTCTGGTTCTGCTGCCTCAGAACCAGCGGCGCCGTCACTATTTGGACCTGGAACCCTGCTGATCTGGTCCCACAGCTTGTGGGAAACCCAGAACCGGACTTTGACTAGGCCCCCGGTAGAACCCAGCCTGCGGTGCAGGATTTGCTTTTCCTCCTGTTTGCTGTGTGACGCTGCAGTTTCACTTGACTTTTCTCCCTCCTTCCTGCACACTGAAGTACAGCGTCCTGATCGCTCCCCCCGCTGTCTGCCAGAGGTTGATCTCATTTCTTCTCCCTCTCAGCTCCTGATCTGTCCTCCTGTGACTCGGTTCTTCTTCGGCCGGAGGGAACCTTTCCACAAGCTGCTGATCCAGGGAGACTCAGCGGGCCGCCTGTCACTGTGGAGCATCCCAGACTCCTCCCCTCCTCAAACCACCGCCACTTCAGCAGGTGATGAAAGTTTGATGTTTCTTCTCATCATCCCAAACAAACTTGATTACTTCACTGGTTTCTGCTCGAACTTCTTCATTTTCTCACCTGAAGTTAAGATTTTTTTCCTCAGTTTGATGCTGATCTCTAGAATTGTTTTGTCTGGTTCTTTGTTGAAAGTTGTAGGGAAATCATTCTGGCTTAAACATGTATATAAATGTTCTATTTATTAGACAA